CCTCCAGGTGACGGTGTTTTTCCCCCTTCCCTTAATTTGCACAGGTGACAGATCAGAGGCCCAATCTGCAATCATTCACGCACACCACGAGATTCACTGTCCCCCACTATCCTTTCAGGTGTATAAACACGTCCTACCACCATGAAAGGCAATGAGGCTGAGTCATCAGCTTATCATAAAAACGTCTATTTAAAGAACTTTGTAGAAAATTTTTAATTACCTTCACAGATTAATAAGCCACTCAAAAGACAATACTGCCAGAAGAAAAAGGCTTTCTAAATGATTAGAAAGAATGTGCATACCTCACCATATCATAATGCTAGACAAACTGTACTAGTTTATGGAACTATCACTGTCACTACACTGTGATATTACACAATCATCCAAGATAATATTTATAAGGGCTTGAAACAGCGTAGGGGAGGTCTGGAATGTCACATGATAAAGCAGAGTTATATTTACCAAATAAATTTTATTTTAAAACTCCAATTTTTAAAAAAATAAAAATAGTGCAAAAGAAGTATATGAAAGTCCACAATTAAGGCTGCATAGTGGAATGTACTTGGGGTGGTGGGAGGGGTGCGGGCGGATTGTGTACCAGGGCGGGATTTTTTTCTTTTACTTTTAAAAGAGAGGACCAAACTGGGGTAGGGGGAGGGCAGGACGGGGAGAGAAGTGCAGCAATGAATGAATGGAAATCCAAAATCTCTGTAAATGCTCATTAAAATTATTAAAATAAAATAAAAATTACAAAAAAAAGTATATGACAATGTTGTTTTCCTACACAGAACGACGTATTTTTTTTCCTTTCAGTGTTTTCTAAGATTTCTAAAAATAAGCATATATTACCTGCATGATGAACAGTATTTCAAAAAAATGTTTACACTTGAACTTTCAGAGAAATTTATAAGGAAAATCAGAGTCTGTCCCTAGATGCCCAGATGAGCAAGAATCCTAACACACCGGTTGAGCGGTGTCTGGTTCCTCTGCTCACGGGACAGAACCTCACACAAGGACCCTGACCGCTGGTTTTGTGTCACACAGCTATCGTGTGCAAGGCTGCATCAGCCGCCGGCATGTTCTGAGAACACTATCAGGGACCCCAGGGGGTCATCTCTACACCAGGCTGAATTTGCAGATGAGGAAATGAAACTTACAGAGACCCATCGCCATGACGGTGTGCCTCCTCCCACCAACCACAGTCCCCGGTTTGTGACAACGTGCTCGGCTCACCCTTCTCCCTGCTGTGAGGACTTCACATTTCGCTCCACATTCACTTAACAAGCACAGAGTATGGAAGGAGCTGGTGCTGAGCCTGGCTAAGTGCCTCACTGCTAACCAAAGGGTCAGCAATCAAACCCAGAGCGCCCCAGGAAGAAAGACGGGGCAGTCCTCGTCCTCGGAGGCCGGCCGACAGTCCTTGTCCTCGGAGGCCAGCGGAGCAGTTCTATCTGTCTGAGGTCACCGGGAGAGGGAACCCACGGACAGCAGGTGGGGCTACTGAGTCTCCACTGTACAGCCAGGAGCTGTCTTCACCCACTCACCTGGAGCCTCCTATCTTCAAAAACAACATCATCACCTTCTCATTCCGTGGACTTACTCTCCACCTGCTGGGTCTCAATGAAGGGAAACTTTGGGAAAGGCAGCGTTTGGTTAACACTGCTCCACATTTATGGACTATCTTCTAGGTAAAAGCACTGCTACTGGAGATGAGAGATAAAAGGTGAGGAAGTCAAGGTCACTGACTCCACGGAGCTCATCATCTGGTAAAGGAAGAGATACATGGGTCACTCTCGAGACCTGACGCGGTAACGCTGGACTGAGAACCAAGTGACACGCCAGCCCAGCCTCACGGTCCTCGCTGCCTGAGCTGCCGCTGCGCAGCCCCTGTGTCCATCCATCTTTCTGAGCATTTCCAAAATACTATATTCTGAAATACTACACTTTCTCCTTTCGCTGACCTTCTAGCATGCCAATGTCGTTCTCCAGGGACAGGTCCCTCCAGCTAACAGGTGCAAGTAGGCTGGACGCAGTTTCGTCAAGCTCTCTTCTAAGGAGCATCCCAGCTGAACTTCATCCTCTCCTTCAGCAACCCTCTGCTTTACCAGGTATGGTGCCATTCTCCCGCGACTGACCATTCCTGACAACACGCCCACAGCAGGGGAGACACGGTCTCACCATCCACGCGTCTAAGCAGCACTCCAGCTGCCCTTCTCCTAATACAGCTTGGTTTGCGCGTCGGACAATGTGGTCACATCGCATGCCACGCTGCTGACCTAGACACCAAGCCTCTCCATGAGAGAAAAATGGACAGCAGCTCCCCTGAGCTTGACAGCTTCAGAGACCCAGTGGAGGGCTGCTGTGCGTGATGACCAGGCAGATAGCGGTGAGCGAGTGCTTTCAGTATCTGAGACTCTAGCAGTTATTGTACAGCTCGCCCTCGACTTACACCAAGGCTCCGTTCTGAACACTCTGCTGAAGAGGGACTCAGCTCAGATGTAACCGGATACCTCCCATCCTTTTTAAGGGTGAGACGGCATATGACAATATTTTCAACAGTAAATCATAACATCGAACATCTGCAAGTGTACATCTGAAAGTCTAATATCAGCTAATTATACACTTCAACACTGTATGCAGCATGTATCCCTAATGACAAGATGTAGAGCATTTAAAACACGGAAACCTAACAATTACTACAAGAGTGTGACTCGTTAAAACCCGAATAAATTATCAATCAGGGACCACCTGTAGGTGTGTCAGTTCACCCATAACCCTCTGATGCCAAAATCTAATAAAATAATGTATTATTTGTGATAGCACTCCACCAGGCAGGAACTCAGACTCAGAAGGCATAAAAGATGCATGTTATAACAGTCAGCAATGGAGAAGGTGACCAGAAAAGGACACCAGAAGTCACCAACGACCTAGCACTTCCATTAGGTACTTGTGACTAGCGGCAGGTGGGACAATGAAGAAGAGAGTGTCTGTGCCTGGTGCCCGGTCCCTGGCAACGACAGTGCTGCCCCTTTGCCACCGGGACCCTCAGAGTCACAGGCTCGAGTTCCAGTCCACTCCAGCCCTTTTCACTGGCGCTTCTCCCCAGGCCTGTAACTCAGCGAGTCCTGACGTGGACCACTGTGACCAGCTGCAATGGACTAAGTCACTTCACTCAGCCAGCAGCCTTGAGTCTCAGTGGGGAGGTGTGTGCCCTCCATTAAAGCGGGAGTCTTCTGAGGCAGGAAGGCGACCAGGTGAATCTGAGTCTTTCAGTTCCAGCCAGCCATGAAGGGGCCATGCAGCGGCCATGCTGGTGGGGTGAAAGGAAGCTGGTCCTCAGAGCTGGTCTCCAGGAAGAGGCCTCGCTCACCCACGTGTATGTGCACCTGACCCCGGCCGTGCCACTGTCAATCACCTCATACTTAGGTCAGGGATGGACAGTGAATATGGAAGACTGAAAAGAATTCATGAATGCCTCTGAATTACAGCCTGGTAAGGAACAGTGGACGTACTGCAAACCGCTGCACTACTGTAAATGTTAATTACCAACCCCGTGAATGGTGTCAGGAGCTCCTCAGAAGGAAGGTCACCTGATAAATTTTTTAAATACCATCAAAAAAAGTAATAAACTACTAGAATCTGTAACACCTCCACTGGATGAGTGAGAAGACAGAAGGCCAGGGAAAGCTTAATTATTGATCTGAGGTCATCGTAATTACAGGTTGAGTTTGGGGGGAAGAATCTTCCAGACCTCCTGACTTCTGTCCTTTTCTCAGAAGACACTAATTGACCAAACACCACGAAGCACAGGTCTTTACGGAGATGGCTATTTGCGCAAATGCCCCAAGTTCCCTTCTTTTTAAACGTGGTTTCTTGAAATCACTAATTAACTAACGTGACCTCAACAAGTAGTATTTCTGAGGCAAACAAATCTGTTACCAAAAACACCAGCCAGACTTCCATGAAGCATCTGTTCATCACCCTCCTGAGAGAAACGGAGACCTGGTGGTGGAGCCCCAGGCGGCCTACGCCCTCAGTGCGGCCCGTGGACACAGCAGATGAGCCGCTGACCAGGCCCAGAAAGAGAAGCTGGAAGAGAACAGTCAATGACCGAGAAAGCACGTGACTAACCAGGTCCTCAACGGCAGCTGTGCAGAGTGCTGATGGTGGAGAGACAATGACAAGAACAAGGTCCTCGCTCTGCTAAGGACACGTGGGAGGGTCCAGGAAGAGACCTGGAGGAGTGGGTTTGGTGAGGGGCGTATAGAAGGGGGAGCAGGAAGGCTAGGTCCCACGGAGAGTGGAAGGGGAGGAGCTAAGAAAGGGGGGAGTCCCTGTCCAAGCAGAGGAGTGAGCACGCAGTGCAGACACAGGGTCACCACAGCCTACACTCACTCACGTGACGGATGCCGTGCACGCTTCAATCTCAGGGGTGTGGAAGGCCTAAGAACAAGAGAGACTGGGCCACGACAGAGGGGAGGGACAAACATGTGAACCAGAGGCGACACTCTGACTCCACACCCAGCTGGAGCAGATGTCTACTTGGACCCAGCAAAGCACTGCCAACATCGGCTAGGGGCTGGGCAGATACCTCCTCTTCATAGTTGGAGGAGGGGCGGGCAGCACCCTGAATGGGGGGCCACTCTTTACTAGTCAAAAATTAAAACACCTGTGCCAGAGCGGACCACCAAGGCGCAGACGAGGTGCCCATAACAGAGACAGGCGACTCTGATCTCTCCCCAAGAATGGAATCTGAAGCGCAAACCAGCTGCCCAGCCCCTGGGTGCTGGCCTTGACCCCTCAGTCCTGGGAGCCACTGAGTTTCTCAGGGAGTGTGACACAAACACCATTAAAGGCAGCCCTGCAGGGGACCGAGGATGAAGCTGCCACTTGCTGGGGACACTGAGCCGGGATTCCCCAGGGCCACCACCGTCCTAGGATTCCAAGACTCGAACTGGGAGGGAGGGAACCATCCCAAGGAAAGGGCGCTGGTCACTCACCCTGATCTGACAGGAAGTCCATCATGGTCTGCAGGAGGAAGGACAGGTGGCGGACGGACAGCGCGGGGTTGCCCATTCTCCGGGAGGCGTAGACAAGTTCATGCAGCAGGCGCATCTGCACAGCGGCCCAGCCGCGGTGTGTGCCTACGGGGTGGGGACAAACCGTGAGACCAGGCTCACAAGGCGACATAACAGAGCAGGAGAAGCATTTCACGAAGGGCGCAGAACCTGGAGATTGAAAAACAGTCAAACTCAAAGGGCAACACAATGTCGTCCATGAGAGGAGCGTGAGCCACTTCCCCCCAAGAGCAGCTGTGTCCTGCACCACATGACCACACGCACTGGTGGCCAACACCCCTCCTGCACACTGCCATCAAAGACTCTGTAGAAGAATCCCAATTGGGGGTGGCAGGAGCCAGGAACACAGGGCAGGGATTCTGTGCATACAGGGCCCGTAGCAGCTCCATAGGAAAGTTGAAAAACTACAACTAGTTAGGCTGTGAGTCCACTCTGGTCTGACAGAGAGCCGTCGCTGGCCCGGCTGCCATCCTCGCCCCCAGCGCTCCGAGGAGCCTCTGTGAGGAAAAGCTCTGGGCGCTCAGTCACAGCCCCCTCCGTGGGGCTCTGGATGGGGTCTATCCAGGGTCCTTAAAGCCTCCAAGAGCCTCTGCATCAATCAGACTTAAGCCTTAAACCAAAAACATCCTCAAAGCCTTCTTAAAACCAAGCCAAGAATTTAGCTTAATTGGAAAAGAATGTCTGTCACTCTGAGGCAGGAGGGACTCGTAGATGTGGATCTCAGCCTTGTGACAAAGACTCTCAGATGCCTTGATGGACACCAGGGTCAGTGTGTGCTCCTCTCCAGAGCTATGACAGGAACGAGACCTCCGCCAGGGCAGGACACATGCAGGGCGTCGGTACAAAGTCACGTCCAGTGCCCCAAAGCTCCCCGCAAGGACCCTCCCCAGGAGCTGAGCCCCCCATGATCCTCCCTCCCTCACAGTCCATCTGGACCCGAGGCCTTGGGTCCTAGGCCCCACCTCTAGTTCACCAATTGCTCCTTCCAGGGAAGGTACAGAGCAGACTCACCCCCTGCACCCCAACCTCAACTCCCCGCAGAGGAAGGTGAAACCCCATCTGCTCAGCACCCTACGAGCCTCTCACCAGTGCACGTGCCACACCCTCCACCCGCCCCACCCCAACCGGAAAGCCACCAACATTTCTGGAAAGAAACCAGGAGGGAAGTCCTCACCCAGTCCCGCTTCTGCTGCACCCCCACCCCGAACGACAAGGAAGAGCTGGGCCTGGGCTCTCGTGAGAACAGTGACAGACATGCTAGGCTCGAGCCTTGGGACAGAGTTGGGGAGCAGGTCCCTGATGCCCCATCAGCAGAGGCGGCTCCATCTGAAGGTCTCCACTCAGCGTGAGTCCCACATCCTCAGCTTTCAGGGCAGGGTTGAGACAGACATCACCACACAATCTCCACAGAGCGTTGGGGACCTACAGGACTATCCTGTGACCACAGTCAGGGCAACAATGCCTGGTGCTAGGTAAACACACTGTGCAAACTTGTTATCAAACTTGCAATTTGGTTCAGGAGCTCTAGTGGTCTGGCAGTAAATTGCTCTGCAATCCCAAAGGCACACAGTTCAAATCCACCAGCTGCTTGTGGGAGAAAGATGGGCAATCTCCTCCCAGGAGATTTACTGTCTCTGAAGCCCACTAGAGGGTCAGCTGTGAGTTGGTTCTTACTTGACAGCACACAACAACAAACCACACAGTAGGGAGCTCTCCTGGTCTAGAGGTAAGAAGCTGGGCTGCAATCCTAGAGGCACATGGTTCAAATCCACCAGCTGCTCTGTGAGAGAGAGATGGACATCTCTTCCTGTGCGAGGTTCTGACTCGAAAACTCGCTAAACGATCAGCTATCGGTTCCCACTCGACAGCACACAACAGCAGCCACACACTAGGGAGCCTTGCTAGTGCAGTGGTTATGCACTTCGCTGCTAACCAAAACACTGGCAGTTCAAACCCACCCCGGCTCTGCAGAAAAGACCTGGTGATTTGCTTCTAGGAAGAAAGACTGCAGCTGAGGAAACCCTGTCGGGCAAATACTATTCCATCATGGGAGGTCGCCAAGACTCAGAGGCAACTCGTAGGCACGTCAGAACCACCATCATGTGTTAATACGTTGTTGTTCCCCATGGAGCAGCTGGTGGATTCAAACCACATGCCTTCTGGATCGCAGAGCAGCTTCTTGACACAGCCTGGGAAATCCATGGGAGGGTTCTACTCGGTTCTACAGTCTCTAAGAGTCACCATCAACTTGTCCAGACACAACAAAAACAACGTCAAGTGCTGTTAGGTGGGAAGAAGCCTGCTCTGAGGCAACACGACCTTGTTATTACTGTTACTGTCATGTCCTGCAGTCAGAACCAGCCCGCAGCTGACCCTCAGGTGGGTTTTCAGAGGACATTAATTGCATGGAAGGACACTGCCCAACGTTCTCCCAAAGAGCATGTATAACAAAATAAAACAACTCAAGAAACAAAAATGTTGTTGTTGTGTGCCTCAAGTCAGAGCCAGCTCCCAGCTGCCCCACCAGCGTGTTTTCATAGGCGGTCCCACACAGGAGGCGACTGCCCGTCTTTATCCAACTAGTGGATCCAAACTGTGTTCCGGTGGTTTGGCAGCGTAGCTCCGTGTCCCGAAGCCACGGCAGAGGAAGACTTGGTGAGCAAACACACGTCTACAACAGCAAGTATACTGCATTTTCAGGAAGTTTTACAGCAGTTCAGCTTCTTGTTGTACAGTTTCTATGTAAGTGATATCAGTCATGTTTTCAGAGGTGCTGCAGGCTCAGTTCCAGACCCACAAAGTACAGCAAGCAGCAGCACAGAGTCCCCCAGGAATCTGTGGGCCTCCCAGTGCTATGTGAGCGCCCTGATGATGATGCCCGCTCAGAGCCAAGTGCAAACGCCTGCGCCACCAGGGACAGCCAGGGGAGGGGCCCACGTACCTCTGTTGAAGTCCTTGGGGTCCAGCGACAGGCTGTAGCCGGGCAGCGTCTCCAGCAGCAGCTTGTAGCAGGCCCGCCAGCCCGGCTCTGCGATGCTGGGGGCCACACACTGCATGGCGGCCACGCGCTTGAAGAAGGCCGCCTTGCGGTGGAAGCCAATGAGCTCGTACAGCTCAGAGAGGATGCTGTAACGCTGGATCTTCTCCTCCTCCGAGAGCTGGGGGGAGGCAACCGGAGGTCAAGACCCGCTTCTGGTTTGGGGAACGTCTGAACCACCCACCTCTGGTTGACAGCTGCATGCTTTGTCCACTGCACCACCAGGGGCCCCTGGGTAGAACGGACAGGTCTGAGGTGACCCCTTCCATGAGTTCCCACAAACGTCTACAGCCAAGTGGCCCAGCCACCTCTCAAGCTACAGACCCTGTCCATCACCCCAGTCCACCCTGTCCCCATCACTCTCAAGGACAGACACTGCTGTCACCTTCCACAGGTTAGTTCTGCCTGCTTCAAAACTGCATGGATGCCCAAAGCTCTGAAGGCAAGGGTCCGGGGTGGGCGAATGAACACGCGAACTCAGGGAGGAAATGGGAAGGCTGCTGTGACCGTGAAAAGATGGCAATCCATGTCACAACACACGTGTGCAAACTGAGGAGTGAGGAGGTAGCACCCTCCGCAAACTTCTAACTGGACACACGCTGATCTTTAAGCAAACACATCCCTGAGTCCTCTCTAAACAGCAGTTCTAAGGGGCAAAGGATGAGCGCCCGGAGAACTGTGGAAGAGAAGTCTTCACAACGTCCCACGCTCTGAGTGAACATATCTTCCCAACATGGTGCTCAACGCAAAGCTGCCTCTGAACCATCGTCTTTGCGTCCGTCCGGCCTTCTCCCGCACTGCCATCGGGCTGGTCCTGGCATGAGAAACCTCCACACAGACCTCAACAGGGCAGACTGCCTCATCCTTCTCCCCTGAGCTGCTCGTGGGTACGAACCATCAGCCTTTCAGTCAGCAGCTCGGCACACACGCACTACACCGCCACGGGTCCTGAATTCATTCTGGAATGACCCTAAAAACCCACTTTGTTGTAGTGAACCTAGAACTCAAACCAGGGCTTCACGGTGGTTTGCTTTTATTCGAACACTCCTAACTAGAAAATATGTAAGACTGGGGGGGAATGAGAGTAGCTGGAGACACGGGTGAAACAAGATCAGCCCTGAGTTGTTAGCTTAAAACACGCAGTTGAGTACATGTCGTTGTTGTTGTTGTTGTTGTGTACCATCAAGTTGGAAGTGACTCACAGCTGACCCTCCAGCAGGTTTTCAGGGGCAGTAAGTCACCTGGGAGGAGACTGGCCATCTTTCCTCCGCAGAGCTGGTGAATTCGAACCATGTGCCTTTGGGTTGGCAGCACAATTCCTTGGTGCTAAGTCACCAGAGTTCTCATAATTGTTCTATTTTGTATGCGTTTGAAATGTACAAGAAAATTTTTTTATTATATTTTTAAAATTAAAAGACCTGCTTTCTTAGAGTGAACAAAGAGGCTTTTGGAAGAGAGATTTTTGAAGAGCGATTTGAAATCAGAAAAAAACCTTTTGGATTCAGTCAGCCACCTTGGTCTATGCAAAGAAGGAATTGGTATTTCTGACACCACAACATTTTGTGGAACACCTGAGGGTCTTCCTCTCCTGCACTGACCGTCCGTCTTCCAAGCCTCCCAAGCATGAAGTCCTCCTCCAAGGACTGACCTCTCCTGACAACACAGACAAAGTGAGACAGAGTTTTAAAATCCTCGCCTCCAAGGAGCAACCTCGTTTCATCCTCTCCAGGGCAGACCTGCTGGTTCCCTTGGCAGTCCATGGAATGTTCAACACTCATCTCCCGCACAACTCTAAGATAGCAATTCTTCTTCTGTTATCCTTATTCACTGTCCAGCTCTCAGATGCCCACCAAGCAGCTGGGGAAATCAACACCTAAATCGGGTGCACCACCTTAGTCTCCAGACTGACATCACTGCTGTTTAGCTCTCTGGAGACATACCTCACAGCAGATTTGTCCAATGCTAGTCCCAAGGGTGTGGGTCTGAGAAACATAAAATCATGAACAACTTTAATCTCTTCCCCATCTATTATGGCGCTGTCTACTGTCCCAGTGGCAAGGATCTCTGTTTTCTTGACGTCGATATACTATTCGTATCGAAGGCTGCAGTCCTTGATCTTCTGCACCAAACGCTTCGAGTGCTCCTCCGTTTCTGGGACTAATACGGTGTCAGCATAACTCTGGTTGTTGAGTCTTTCCCCAGTTCTGATACCACACAGCCTCACAAATTATCTGTTCAGCACATAGACTGGAAAGGGGTAGAGACAGGTGCATTCATGACACACTCCTTTCTTGATTTTGACCCACGCAGGGTTCCCTTGCTCTGTTCGGACAACAGCTTCTTGGTCTAGGTATAGGTTCCCTATGAGCACTATCAAGTGTTCTGGGATTTTCCTTCTTCTCAAGGTTTGCCAAAATTGATTGTTATCTCAACAGTCAAATGCCTTTGCATAGTCAATAAAATACAAATGTTGTTGTTGTTGTTATGTGTTGTCGAGTCACTTGCGACTCATAGC